GAAAGTCCGAGGGGCTAAACACACCCTTTGCTGGCCTCTCGCCCTAAGGGGCTTCCGAGCAAAGCAGAGGTCGCAGCCCAGGCTCCCCCCCCCGTCCCCCCCAAGGTGGAAAGATCAGCCACGGAGGCCATGCAGAACTCCCTCCCCGTGCAACTGCCCCGGAGGAGAGGGAGAGAGGGGGGCTCCTGGGGAGCAGGAGGGGAGCCTAGGGCTGCCCCCAGCTGGGCGGAACCCCTCCTCCTCCTCCACAAGGGGCATCCTCTCGGGTGCAAATGGGCCAACGGCAGTTATAACAGGGAGACGCCTCCAGATCCCAACTCCCCAAATCAAAAAAGGGGAAGCATAACCCAGAATGGAGGGGGGGGAGGAGGGAGGGGAGGGGGCTCTCAGTTTCCAGTCTTTGCTTCCAGGCATCAAAATATCAACCATTTTTTTAAAGACAGAGTTTCTTGTGCTGAGAAACATCAGGAGAACTTTTAGACCTAAATAAGATTCCTTCTCTTGCCTCCCAAAAGGAGCAAGATTTTGGGGCAAGCAGACCCCACTGGATAGATGCCCCCCCCCCCCCCCCCCCCACCTCCCAGGTCCACCTGCATCTGTCTACAACCATCTTCCATTTCCTCCACACCAGGTAAGAAAAGCCCCCTCTCCCCCGCCCAAGGCCAGGCACAGGTGAGCTAGGAGGATGCCAGGCCAGACAGAGGCTCTGCCTCCAGGGGGGGGGGGGGGATTCCAGGTGCTGGTGCTCACTTTTAAAGCCCAGAGGCATGCTGCTTGTCCCCCAAAGAGAGCCACCTGATGGGCGCTTGGGCCTTTTCCATGGAAGCCCTGCCCCCCCCCCTTACGTCTGGTAGGTCCCCCCCCTCCGTGCCTCCTGTGGGGCTCTGAAGCCCTGCCTTCCCCCCCAGCACTGGGAGATGGGAGTGGTCCATGGGAGCTGATTGGGCACCCGGGGCTGCCGTTTTTGTGCTGTTCTAACTTTGGATTGGGGGGCAACCGGAGTTGGTCAGAAGAGAGGCCGCTACAGAAATATTTCAAATTAAGAAACCCTCCTCAGTCCTTCCTACCAACTCTAACCCATCCTTCCCCATCATTCCCTGGGGCCTTCCCATCCAGGCAGCCGATGGCCTCCTCCTAGCCACCCCCACTTCTCCCTCAGCCCAGCCTCTCCCCTCCTGCTGCTCTGCGAGCAGGCCCAGAAACGCGCCCTTTCTCTGGAGTCCATGCACCAAACAGCCCCCCAGCAGCATCCCCCTCCCCCTCGGACAGAGGGAGAGGAGCCTCCGCTTTCAGGCAAGAAAAGGGGTGCCAGAAAGGGGGCCCAGAGGGAGACCCCAATGGAGACAGAGGGGGAGGGGCTCAGCCGTTTCCCCCAGTGAGCTGCGCAGGCCAGGCTGGTCTCTGTGTGTGGCAAGAGCTGCATTAGAGGATCTCTGACGGGGCTGAAGGCCAAACCCAGGTCCTCCTGAATCAGCCCCCTCCCCAAAGGCCGTGCCCTACCTGAGGCCCTTCCCCTTCCAGTCTGGGAGGCCGGATGCTGGAGAGGTGGATGGTCTTGTAGTCCCCGGAATTCAGCTTCACCACCATGGCGTCTGCATTCAGCACCTGCACCACCTGGGAGAGGAGGGGAGCAGGAGCTGAGCCAGGGCATCCTGGGACGCCACCAAAGCCCCCCCACCCCACCCCCGGCCAGCCCTCAACCAGCACTGCCAAGAAGGGGAGACCCGATCGGGGGAGAGGGGGGCAGCCCCACCGCAGCTGAGAAAGCTGGAGCCCAGAGTGCCCCCTTCCCTCGTTAGCCCCCCAGCAGGCAGAAGGAGCAGCTGTGCTCGGCGGTCCCATCAGCTGCCACGCAGGCCTGCCTCCCTCACTCCCGGGGGCTCTGGCAACAGCCCCCTCCCTCGCCACCCCAAGAGGCCTCGGAGCCCCTGGCTCCGCAAAGGGCAGCCCCATGAGTGCCGCCGGGGTGGGGTGGGGTAGAAGAAAGCCCTGCACCCCCTCAGTGGCAGACGGATCCCCGAGCGGCAGCAGCAGGCTGGGCCCACGGGAGCTCAAGAGCAGGAAAGGCCGCCCATCAGCCGCTTCTGCCCCCTAAAAGCCTCGGGGTCAGCCTGAAGGGGAGGGGGAGGGAGCCCTGAGAACCCCTCCCATTTCCTGAGCTGCCCCATATTTTTCTCTAAAGGGTCTGTGGCTTCTTTTGCGGAAATGCCCCAACTTTCTCGCCGAGGCCTGAGAAACTGTGTGGACGAAGGAGACCCCAGCTGGCCCCTTTCCGTGCAGGCCCACTTAGTTAGCCTTTCCCCATCCCCCGTGGTCACCTCCCTTTCTGCCCCCGTCCCCTGCAATCGGGGTGGGAGCCGGGAGAGCCCACCTCCCGGTCCCTCCTTTGGGACGGATCCCACGAAGGAATCCCTGGGCTCTGGCTACCTCGGCCCATTCGGTGCTCCAAGGGATGGCAGGGCCGCCCCTGGCATCAGACGGAGGGCAGGCCTTGGGCTGATCTCTGCTTTCGGGCATCGCCAGAGGTACGGGCAGACTGCGGGCTCCGCCTCCCCCACTGAACCCGGGGCCGTTGAGGGTCAAGCGGGTGAAGGGAGCAGAAGAAGCGGCCTCAGAACCAACCCTCCCAATGCTTCTCCCTCTGGCTGGTGGGGCAGCACCCCCCACCCCTTCCCCAAGGCCTCCACTCCCTCCCCCCACGGGGAGCTGCCTTACCTCAGGTGCCCTGAGCAGAGCCAAGGCTGCCCTTCCCCACCGAGGGCCTTTAACCTTGGCTCCTTTGGCCCCCGCATTGGCTGCCGGCAGAGGCCCCCCAGCAGAAGGAGGCAGCCTCCCGGGCTCCGGAGGGTGAGCCCCAAGGGGGGCCAAGGTGAGTATGCCATCTTCCTTCTGCCTCACAACCACCCCCCCGGAGTGCCCATGCAGAAGCCCCGGAATCTTTGAGGGGGAGGGGGAGCCCCGGAAGGCTCCCTGGGCAACAGAGCAAGGGGCAGGGGCTTTCCAGCCAGCCCACCAACCACGCTGCCACTTATGCCCTTAAAAACACACACCAATAGCGCCACCTGGTGGTCGTTTCCACTCTCCACAGCACCAGATGTTCCCAACAGGGCTGCAACCCCCCCAGTGTGTGGGGCACAAGCCAAGCTGCCCCATACGTTTATCCCACAGGGATCTGCAAGCCAGAGGAGGCTTCCACACAAGCAGCAATTCTCCTCCCTGAGGCCGTCCTCCTGGGCGGGGGGGGGAGGAGGGCAGGGAGCCCCTCCTGCTTGCTGCCTTTGCCTGTTGCCAGCTAAAGGGAGCTACAGACGGTCCCAAAAGCCCCCTCCTCCCCCAGCCCCCTAAGCCCCCTGGGTCCAGCCTGCCAGAGGGGAGCTGCGGGCAGCCCAGGGGACTGCAGGGCCCGTCAGGAAGGCCTCACCCACCTTGGCCTGAAACTGCTTCTCCTTCTGGTCCAGGTTGGCTGTGGGAGCCACGTAGTCCCTCCAGATCCGCAGCCGGTGTTCTTTGGCGTACCTGGGCCGAGAGGGGGAGGGCAGGAGGCTTGAGTGGGGGAGCCCGGCCCCAGGGCCCACCCAGCCACCCCGACTGGCGGGGGAAGAGCGGAGCATTTATGCAGGCGGGCTCTACCCACATTTGGCACACATTCTGGGGGGCCCGGGAAGCGCAGTGGGCATCACACACTCACCCCTTCACCCTCCCCGGGGGGTGCCAGTTACGATTCCTCAGCAGGGGTGACAAGAGGCCAAAGTGCCCGTCCTCCCCACGTCCCCCCTGGAGGTGCTGTCTGAATCCCCCAGCAGCGCCTGGAGTCAAGACTAGGCGCCACACGGTCACCCCCAAGGTGCAGAGCCTCCCACTGGCTGACGGTGCAGCACCAGACTCAAAAGCGTCTCTAACCGAAACAATTTTGCGTCCATCCATGAGACCCCCCAACCGCTTTCCCCTGGAAGAGCTGGGGAGGCAGAAGGGATGCGGGAGGGAAGCGGCAAACGGCAGCTTAAGGCAGGGCCCGGTCACCACCCACATGCCTGGGCAGGCAGCCTGGTGCGGGGGGGTGGGGGGACCCTGCGGACCCTCCCTGCCTCCAATTCCAGCCCCAAAGCTGCTCTCCAGCCTGCTCAGAGGAGCCGAGCACAGCCGCCCGTCCGGAAGGACCCCAGGCAGGATGACCCGCATTACCGTTCCGCGGCTCGCAGCTTCTCTGCCCCCCGGGTGTAGACGGCCATGGACCAGTCAACGCAGCGGGCGAAGCCCTCCTTCAGCAGCAGCTCCGTGATGTTCCCGTTCTGGGTGGGAGAGAAGACGGCCGTCAGGGACCCCCGGCTCTCCCCCTTTCCCCAGGCAGCTCCAGCCGGGACAGCCTCCCTCACCCCTCTTCAAGCAGGAAGCCCCTCTCTGGCCGCCCCCCGCAGAATAGGGCCGGTCCAAGGGAGGGAAAGGGGCAACGAGGAGGGCAGGCTGAGGTGGGGGTACCAAGGCAGACCTGCCCCGGCTGGTTCCGGGCCCAGAGGCAGCCTGGAGCCGAGTGGCTTCTGGGCAGAAGTCCAGGCCTAGTCGGTCCCTCTGCAGCCCTTCGTGGCAGAGGGGCTGCCCATGGGAGCCCCCCCCCCCGGTCTTATCCCAAGGGTGCCTTCTCTGCCATGGCCCCTGCGCTGTGCCCGACCCTCCAGCCTTGGGAGCAGCGCTGCGGAGCCGGTCTTCTTCTTTCCCCCTGCTCTGCACCTGCCCGTAGGCCACCCGAGTCATTCCCTCCTCACGCCGGTCCCTTTCCTCTGCACGGCATCTCTGGGCCCCCCCTCACGGTTCACCCCTTTGCCCCTCCCTCTCCCCCCTGGAGGTCTTGGGGCCATCGCCACCCCCACCCCCAGCCCCCACTTGCCGGGTGCAGGATGGTGCCCAGGATGTTCTGGTTGTGGCAGCTCTCAAGGACGATCTGGACGTCTCTCTGCAGCAGCCGCGACTCTGTGAAGAACTTGGCTTCTGCTGCAAAGGGCTCGGGGGTCTCGGTGCCGTCGGCTTCCCGCTTGAACGTGGGGCACTGGGAGGAGAGCGCCAGTCAGGGCAGGGCACCCACAGCAGCCTATGCCACAAGGTTGATCACACACCCACACGCACACTGAAGGCTACTGGGAGCCCAAGTGGGGATAAGGAGCCCCCCCTCTCCACCCCAGGGGCAGAGAAGGCCCCACAAGCCCCCATGACGGTGGTGGGAAATCCCAGCCTTTGGCAGCATCGGGGCCAGAAGAAGAGAGCCCCCGTCAGCAGGGGCCCTCCATGGCCAGAAGGAAGGCAAGCTGGAGCAGGTCTTGGGGGGTTGGGGGGCAGTTCAGTACAGAAGGCATCAGCCTCTCAGCGGCCCCTGGCACCATCGCCCACGGGGCCCTCTCAGGTCAGCTGTGGGGATCGGGGCTGGGCAGGGCACTCCTGCACCGCCTTGGCCCAGTTTCTCCAAGGCCGGTAGGGCCAACCAGAGTAGGCGGGGAATGAGAGGACCACCCCCCCACCCCCCAGCTGCTCTTTTGGGGCTCAACGTCCACACGAAGAAGCCCTGGCGGGATGAGTGGCCATCAGGGAGCCCTGAGCCTCAAGCTGACCTGAGCATTCTGCCC